CCAGGTTAGCAGAGCCATTGTATATCATCTTTAAGACAGCTACAGTTGTGTCAGTACATCTGGGCTGCTACACAGGGACATGTTTTTAGCACTTGACTCTGACAGTTTACCTGCTGTTCCAATTTGAACTTTTTTTTTTTGTTTTGACCCATTCAGTGATATAAGAAGCAAATATTTTTCCTTATTTATGGCTGTTTGTCTACAACTTCTGCTTCTGGGACATGCTGGCATTTGGGTCCTCACTCATTGTAGCTGTTGGCATTGATGCAATATATTTTTCTGAAACTAGTGGCTGTTGGTGGCAGTTGCTCAGTGCTGCTGCAAACTGGAGGAGGATCTTAGTAGGCAAATTGAGAAGGTCTAGCGACAATGAAACCAGATTTGAAAGTTGTACTACATCTGAATTACTTTGATACTCAGTCAACTGCTTTGGAGCAGAACCACAGCCAGAAGCGGTGGAAATATATTACCCTGCAGACATGAAATGGATTTCAGGAAGCAAGTTCCTGATTTAAAGTAATTATTTTCTGTACCATGTAGTGTAGTTTTTCTTCCAAGAGAAGGAATGCTTCTCTACTGGTGGTTGTAAGATTATTTTACTTTATGGTGGTATAGTGCTATTGGCCAATGTGATGCACTTGAGAGAATAAATAGTTTTGGTTTTCTTTGATTTAAAAGAAACGAAAGTGTGGCTTACTGATTTCACTGGTTAGTAGGTGTTCTTGAGGAGGCTGGTAAGATACTTAAGATGGTGGTGCTTGTGGGTGCCTTCCTGCGTATCCACATGAATCTTCTGATCTTTGCAAAAAGGTTTGGAGACCAACCAACAACAGACAACCCCAGGTGAATGTGAGTGAGACATGTATTTGCTGCATATATTATTTATAAGATGACCTACAGTCAGGAGCAACAGATTAACAATTTAAGAGTCTTTTGCTTAAAATAGTCACATTTAGATTGTGTAATCCAGCTTGACTAGTTGCCTCTGTAATATTAGTCTTGAAAGAATGCAGTGCATACAAATTATATCCATTTATTGCTGTACCACTTGTGTCCTGGTATCTTACGTGTACCTGCCTGTCTTTCATCATTCTGGTTCTGAATACTTAATTGCAGTTTCTTTTTCCTGTCCTAAAATGTTGCTGTCCATTGCTATCTACCTTGGCATTCTGCCAGCCAGGCAGTGGAAGGAGTTGTTTGTTTTATGTGTTCAGGTAATTCAAGATATACTAAGTGCAGTGGGAAGCTTCGGTAGAGTAATTATGTTGGAATGGTTTCCTTGGTTTGTGACTAACTTTCTCGCATCCCCATGGTAATTTGTTGCCGACGGCCTCCTTCCCAGTAGTGGCTGGATGCTGTGTTCCCTTTGTCTACTTACCTCCAAACTCAAGATATTTGCCCACATTCTGTGGGCAACCTCATTCCCCTCATTGAAAAGGAAACACAGCAATTCTCAAACCTTGGTTAAAATACAGCAGGAGAATCAGGTGACTGTTGAACACTTAGTTTAACTTTTTCATAACAGAAGGTTAATGAATTTTAAGATTAAACGGTTGTTGTACAACATGCCTTTTATGGATTATATTATCTTTGAATTGTCCTTTCTGATGGCATCCTCTCAAGTGACTTTTTACAGATACACTTTGTCATGTTGCTAAAGATCCTGCAGTTGTCAGTTTGCATAAAAACTCAGGTTATCTCTCACTGTGATGGGTCAGTGATCTTGCAACTCAAGTTTCAGTGCTGCTTGACTTCAAAAAGATGAATTGGGACTTGTAATAAAAAGCCTGAAACTTGTTAGATGTTTACAAGGATGTCATTTAACTTCTTATGCGAAGGTATGAAGCATGCTATGGCACAGGAAGTGTCCAGGGATTTTGGGAGAAGTGCGGACACTTGGGTATCCTGCATGTATATAGACTAAGGTAATTAAAGAGCAATTGAGCCAAATCTTTATTTGAATCGATAATAGAGAACTTTAGTAAAAAAGAAACTGTTTAGTGCTGGTAACTGTTGTGGGATTTTAACCTGCAGATGCTCATTTTCTCAAAACCTCTTGTTAAATATTTTCATTCAAGGTCAATTGACATAGCTGAGATGGCCTGTAACATTTTCAGATGGGTCAATCATCTACACACTTGTGGGATGTAAGTGAAATCCCTTATGCCTGTGTGTTTCTCTGTAGTTTCTTCCTGTATGTCTTAAGATGACAAATATCTCTCAGCTCTAGGAAGAGGTGTAGAACAGCATGAAATTAACGGGCATGTTTCTAGCAATCTTAGTGGGAGCTCAGTCTCCAATGCCAAGAGGTAAACCTGGAGAAAACAAATATGGGTGATTATGCTGGCTCTGATTGTCATAGTTAACCTCAGTGAAAATAGCATGCTTACTGCCTTCCAAGGTAAGATACTAGAGCTTCTTGTACTGAGGTGGTGGCTTTTCAGTGTTAGAATTCTCAAAGTATTAGGGACTCAAGCATAGAACATCAGGGCATCTATATTGGACTGGTAGAGAACCAGGAATACCCAGGCCAGGCTAACAAATATGCATTCCTAAGAGGTACAGATTGCTGAAAACAAGACTTGATAAGGAGGTTTGCTAAGTGTCTGCACCGTAGATGCCTGATTATACTAGTTGAAGGTGAAATACCATGAATACCTGCAGGGTATTCGTAGGCATTTAAATATGTTAGATCCATTTTTGGGGCAGACTTAGTTTCACTTGCAAGGTGCCAATCCCAGTTAGTCTCATTGTGGATGCTATAAGAGTAATCTGCTTAATATGGCCCTTACACCAGCCAGTACCATTGACCTGTTAAAATATTTCAGAATCCAGCACTTCAGGGAGCTGCTTTGATGACTACTTTGGTGGGTAAATGGTAAATCTAACTGAAACAAGCAGAAGAGTTATGTGAACACTGCACAGAGTTTCTGAAAAGGTTACTCAGTCCAACATGGATGCTTTCTTAGCAGTTTTTTGTGTTTGCAGACTATACTGGTTGAGTACCAGAGACACTGTGGGCTAGCTACTTCTAACACTATATGCCTTTCAGATCCTTCTTTAACACAAGATCATACATTTTTTCTTTTATTTTCTTCTGACAGTAAGAGTGCTTTTGCTAATAGCCTTGTTACACATTGAGGATACTTTTTTTTAAAATGGTCTTAACTGATCTTTGATCCATTTTGGTGTTCTGAGGTGTATCAAAGCCTGGGGCTGAAAAGTTATTGTCACAGCTACTGAAGAAAGAGGCTTTAAACAGATGATTTTTTTCAGAGCAAATCTATCTGATCTGGAATTTAATTTTGTATTTCAGACTTCAATAGTTAATTTACAGTCATAGTAGCAATAGAACACTTTGGGTTTTTTCAACTCAGAGTTGTCAACCTCAGTCGCTAAATGGTATGTTGCACTTCAGTTTCGTGTGTAAGACAGAGCAGTAGTAGGCCAGTATGTAAGTCCTGAAGATTTGTGAATTGAACAGGAACACTTCTTGAGAGTAAGCCTAATTTTTAGCTTTGGAATTTTGTCCAGAGAGTTCTTACAGCAAGAGGAATTAAAGCCACAGATAGCTTAGTAGTGTTTTGAGGATTTTTGTACGTTAAATGCAACTTTGTTTCTGTTGAATTGTAGTAGAAAGCTGAAAAGTTAATACTACAGGAAATAAGCTTGAAAGATACTTTCTGGGTTTAAACATGCTTTTTCCAAACATGATATATAAAACTATATGTAGTTTTTTGTAGTGAATAAAGTCTGGGCTTTGAGAATCGCCATCACCCGAATTCATGGGAGTGCATGCATCTCCTGTCTTTACCAGCTCAGTTGATGTGGTTACTTGTTGGAAACAAGGAAGTTGAGGTCTGTCACAAATGAATTTCATTACTGAGCATTAAAACACAATTATTTTTTCTGCGAAATGGATGGGCAAGGACCTAACCTGCATATGGTTCAGAGGATGTAGTATGGAGAACAGTCTGCTTCATTAGATTTTTTTAAAGTCCTATCTCTGGGCTCTGTTAAGAAATAGTGGAGAGCAGGGTCAGCTTTGGTAGATGCTAGTTAATTTTGCTGCACCTACGAGACATGTTTTTTCTCTTTTTGAATAATTCAGAGTTTTCTGTGAGTCAGAACTGTGATTTACCTGAAACGTAAGTAGGAGATGTGTTGCTATATTGCCAATTGGTTTTTAGTACAGAGATCAAGTAACATATGTTTGTAATGTCTACGCTTTAGTTTAGCCAGATTTTGACCTGAATAGATTAATTTCCTGGGTGTTTGCATGTAGCGTCTTCACTGTTTGGAGCAGACTTTTAATAGATCCGACCTTGTGTTCAGCACTTCCAAACTAATTACTTTTTGCCTCTTTTTAGTTTGCCTCAGTTCTGAGAGATAGGCGCATTTTTCCTTTAATGCGTGTTTTTTTTCCCCCGCTTAATCTAGAACACTCTTAACTTGTCGGATATGTCTGTCCAAGAGGATGGAAAAATTCAGTACTCCACAGAGAAATCCTTCAGAAGAGTCTTTCTATAGTGCAAAATTTATTCTCAAGAACATTTCCTTAGAATAGAAGCATGTCAACATTGAACTTTGTTTGTATGTGTGGGTGCTGTTTCTGAATGTTTGAGAGGCTGAAGTGGAAATTAACAAAATCAAATCATATTGGGAACTAAGCACGAGTTTTAAGAAATCCTAGATTGGCTTTCACAGTGGTGCTTTCGTTGACAGAGTAGAAGAAACATGAACGATTGTGGATCTGTGAAACTCCTTGTCAGAGGACTTCTTGGGTGTAAGAAATTTATGCAGGCTCAAAGAGAAGCTGAAGTATGTGGAAGAAATCCATGAAGGCTACCAAACAGACAAATCACATGAGGCTCAGTAAAACACCCGAAAATCGTTAATTTGATTTGGGTTTTTTGTGTTTAGTATGAATGTGGATAAATAGGTATTAGTTGGAGGAACTAAAATTTCTAATTATTCTTATTTATCACTCTTTTTATTAGCAAAACCAAATAGGAAGCTGACGTTCTTATACTTGGCTAATGATGTCATACAGAACAGCAAAAGGAAAGGACCAGAATTTACGAAAGACTTTGCTCCAGTAATAGTGGAGGCTTTTAAGCATGTTTCAAGGTACAGTAAAGTGTTATGTGCGGTGTTCTTCATAATACTATATTTGAGGGGGATTTGGAGAAGTCTTCACTTCATCTCTTCTGACCCAGCTAGTCCTTGTATGCTATTTCTGTACTTGAAGTCTTGTTAATTTAATTTATTCAATGTGCTTTTGATCTTGGATTTTCTTAATGTTGTTGGATGAAGTTATGTAGTAAATTCAGCTGCATTCAGTCCCTTTTGCTTTAGAAAGCTGTTAGCTATGCCTTAAATTAAGACTTGCTTTCTGTCTCTGTTTATATGCCACAACAGTTTGATGTGTTTCATTACTAGTGTTGTATCATTTGTTTTTTCCCAGCAGCCATTCATTTTGTTGCATGAGGATGCTGGAGTCTTGATGCAGAATTATTTTCACATTGGTACACAGCTGTTGAAGCAGCACAAAACCTGTTTGCAGTGTTTGTGTAATAGGGTTACAGACCTACAGATTTATGGATTGGGCAAGCAAACAGAGAGAATTGGCTGTTGGCTTTTTTTTATGTGCTTGCTAAGACATCTTGAACTGGTCTTTGCTTTCTCTTCTTTAGAATGTGATTTTGTTATTTTCTGATATTATTGGACTTCTAAAGTATGCCAAGGTCCTTGTGTGAAAGACAATCATTCAGCAGTGCTGATTTTTGCTTTTTTTCTTGTAACAGTGAGTCTGATGAGAGCTGTAAGAAACACCTTGGCCGAGTGCTCTCGATCTGGGAAGAAAGGTCTGTTTATGAAAATGATGTGTTAGAACAACTTAGGCAAGCTTTGTGTAAGTATTTTGTGTATGTATGAAGATTCAGTCTCTTGTTTGAAATGTTATTTCTCTTGACTCTGCTGTCTGTTTTAATTTAGATGGAGACAGAAAGGTGAGGAAGCGCACATATGAAGAGATAAAAGTTGATGAAAATAACTGTTCACCTCGAAGTTCTCCAACTGATCCTCCACAGGTAAAAGTACATTTATAAAATTCTGTATTTGCACATGGTTTTATATAGAATTTTGAAATTATTCTTGTTTTTTGAATGATCTCTGTGTTTCTTTTTAATGAGGTACTGTTTCTGAGCAAGGATAACTACACCTGAAACTTTTCTTCACAGTACTTTACATTACAAGGGGAGCTAAGAAGTTGAGCATGCTGTAGCTGCAGTCAGTTCGACACTAAACCAGACTATGTGAACTATATATCCAGCTTTATCCACATCAGAATTTCAGTATTGGTTTCTACAGTGTTTTAGGTTCTCATTTGGTTTCCAGCGTGGTAACCAGTAACAAATATATTAGAATAAGATTGTTATCGGTTTATCAATAAAATGTTTCACAGTGTTGCAACCATAATGGGAAAGGTTCTTGCCTACCTTGCATATAATTCTTGTAAGTTTTTTGTTAGGGTACTGCCACATCTCAAAAGGCCTTTTTTTATGGCAAGGAAAGATGTCCTCAAATAATCACAATTGAATATGCTTCTCTGTAACAGACATTTGGGCTTCTGTGAACATCAGCCCTACTTCCAAAAGAAATGCACTGATCTAGTCTGATGCAATAGTGAAGCAAGACTACAAGAAAAATAATTTCAAAAATGTATAGTAAAATGAAAGGTACTGTAAAATAATCATTGCTGTCAAAAATAAAACATTTATAAGTAGTCCTCTACCAAGAATTTAAATGAAACATCTATTTTAGGAAAGTGACCTTTAAGACTACGAACACTGCAATGTTCTGAGAATTAATGGCTTAGTTTTGTTTGCTTTCAGTCTGAATGTTGCTATAATGCTGATATCATAAATAATTTTAAAATTACCATCAAATTAATTCCATAAGCTTGTTGTGAAATACTGTTTTGTACTAGGATCTGTTTGTTTAAACTAGTTCTCAATTTTGCATGCTTTTTTCAGACCACAGATCTCATTAGAGCATTACAAGAACTAGAAAATGCTGCCTCTGGGGATGCAGCAGTTCATCAGAGAATAGCTTCTTTGCCTGTAGAGGTCCAAGATGTGTCCCTGTTAGACAGAATAACAGGTGAGGGTTGGGGATCCAGCAGCTTAAATGCAGTTCTGAGAACATAACAGTATATAGTGAAATCATGCTTTACTTGTTTTTTTTCTGCTTGCTTTTTAGATAAGGAATCTGGAGAGCAACTTTCCAAAATGGTAGATGATGCATGTATGTTGCTGGCGGATTACAATGGCAGGTTGGCAGCTGAAATAGATGATAGAAAACAACTAACTCGAATGTTGTCGGACTTTCTCCGATGTCAAAAAGAATTCCTTGCAGAGAAAGAACATAAGCTGGAAGTGCGTAATGTTTTCAGTCCATTCTTCACTAAAGCTTGTTCTTGCAAATGTTTTTAGTTTGCCTAAACAAATTTTCTCTCCAAAGGTAAATGTTTAATTGTGACTGTTACGTCTTTGCTTCCAGAGCGTTTTTAGCAAGATTTTCTTTGGTTCTAGTGTACTAAATCTGTTAAACCATCTCAACATTAGGTAATGTTACATCAGTAATCACTTCAGTGTTTGTCTTCTGGGTTTTTTTAGCCTAATCAGTCTTTGTTACATCTACAGACTTAGTTTTAGTAGTGCAGATAGAAAGTCCTATGCTGAATGGTACGAACTTAATTTTTCATAGAGTAAATTTCTTCTTGTTCTTTTCATTCGTTGTTGTAAGTCTTAGATATGTATTACATTTTTTAATAATATCCTTTTTGTGAATAGTGAGGGTGGGGAGGCACTGGAACAGGTTGTCCAGGGAAGCTGTGGATGTCCCATCCCTGGAGGTGTTCAAGGCCAGGCTGGATGAGGCTTTGAGCAACCTGGTCTAGTGGAGGGTGTCCCTGCCCATGGCAGGGGGTTGGAACTTGATGATCTTTAAGGTCATTTCCAACCCTAGCCATTCTGTGGTCTTTTTGGTAGCTATGGGTTTGTGAAGCCATTTTGAGAATAAGATTTTAATTACTGGTTCCAGCACAACTTTTTAACCTGACTCGGACATCCATTAAACCCAGTAAAATGTATTTTTAGGTTCTAGAGCCTCTAACTCAGCTGGTTAGCAGCATTTGCAGTGCTAGCACCGTTAGGACAGGATAAATCATTAATAAAAGAAGGATACAGAGTGAACGGCTCATTATGAGGAAATGATCCCTTAAGTTACTCTGTTCTTCACTAATACTAGTCATCTGTTTCCCTTTCCTAACACATAATACTGTCAAGCCTCTTGTTGAATATACCGTGTATCCTCAATAGGTCTGTAATTCTGTGTCCATTGCTTCCCAAATCCTGTCTCAGCTTTGAGACGTAGGTTCCAGCGCTAACTTGGGTATTCCATTAATAGAACTGAAGCTGCATTCTTCTGCAAGGGGAGATAGCTGTACAGTTGGAGCACCCTGTAGCTGCAGCTTATGCATGTAGCCTTTACACAGTGCAAAGGTTCATTGCTCTTCAAGTTTCATATAGTACAGGCCTGTCAAGAACATTTTCTTCGCTCTGTGGTTTCTTTACCCTTTTATAACTTCATAACTTGAGTTCAGATTTTGTGGTCTTTGTTCGGGACAATGCCCTTCACGGTGTATCTGAAGTGAGTATTCAGATCAGTTGTGTCATTCCTAGACTACTCTTGTTTCCTGACTTCCTTTCCTCTGTGCGTCGCAGAAAAGCAGCTGATGAAAGTTCTTCCTATCAACTTGACTGTGTTTATCCTGTGGGAAGAATATCGGCCGACTTCACCTAAGATAAATGGTGTGCACAGTAGTGCTGCTTGCAGTAGCAGTTGATCCAACTGCACAGTGGAACCTGGACAATTTAAAAATAGGAAGCCTTACCCTTTTTAATCACCTATTCTACCTTCCCTTTGTGTGTGTTTGAAGGACAAGTTCCCACAGGACCTGTGTAGGACTGATTATCTCAAGACATTCACTTCTTTTCGTAGGTCATTACCAGCAATTAGACCCTGTTTAGGTATGGTAGACCACTGGGATAGTGGGTTGCTCAAAAGGCAGTGATTTAGTCCTTCAGACAGATTTATACTTCTGTAAAAACAAAAGATGTCAGTTAATCAGAAATTACAAATGGAGTGCAGCTGTGAATAGATTCAACTCCTGTTGGTTGTTTTCAACAAATACAAACCAGTTTAATTTCCCAGTATTACTGGATCGAAGAGTTCATCACTGTAAGAGAAAGCAATTGCTTATTCCTAGGCTGTCAATGATTCTTAAAACTGTGTTTCTTTGACTGAATTATTTAAACTGTTAAAGAATCTCATTCTAATACAGCACACTTCCCATTTCAGACTGGTTTCAGAAGTCTTTCTTCAGAAAGTAGGAACCAGTCTTTGGTATCTGTTGCAGTCTGTTTTAAACAGATGAAGCCCTAGGACAGTGAGGTATAGAGTAAGAATGTTTTTAGGCAGATCTGTGTGGTGTGAATGCAGGTTACTAAGAACTGTGAGCCAAGATGGTGTCAACCCAAGGTGCTAATAAAGAGTCATGAGCCAAGAGATTGTAAAGAACAAGAACCTTAAAATCAAGCTTCTAGATTTGTGTTAAGATGAGTGAAGTGACTTTGTGCTCGCTAGGAGTAGTGCCTTTTTGGTTTGTTTATCAGTGCAAGCTGATAAACATTCTGAAGTTTTGAAATGTAAGATCAGGGTGTCTTCATGGTATTGTCTGTCGGGCCAGCTGACTTAGTTTCTCTGTTGCTTTTAATTTCTTTTTATTTTTAAGAAATGGCTATCTTCTGATGCAAATACCAGATACCTGTAGCCAGATGTATTTGTTTTCTGAAGCAAGGACTCTGTTTGTTTTTACAGTCTTGGGAAATACCATACCTCAGATTGAGCCGTGCTTCTTGGCTTCTCATTTGAAATAGCACTGGGAAAGGGCCTGTTGCCTAATTCTTTGAAAATGTATTTGCTGAACTGTCCCAAAGTTTCACTGCTCAAGTTTAATTTCTGGTGAAATTAATTTGTTCTAGACAAGCTTGTTTCTTTTGTTGGACTTCTGGCTGTTGACCTTTTTTTGAGTATAACATGGTCTCTGGGTTGCAACGTACCAAGTGTTCATTTTTTTTCTGAATTAGTATCATCCATCTGTGAGTATATTGCTGAGATCCTACGGTACTGCTTTGTCGAACACCCAGGTATGGTAAGAAATTGTATTCTTAATGGAATCTAGAAATGTTACCTGCTGTTGACCTGGTTTAACAGTATTAGAATTTTAATTCCCAGCAAATTCTTGCTAACCTTTAACTTTGGATGGGAGCTTTAGACCTAAATTTGCAGATATTTTGTCTTCTGAAGAAAATTTACAGGTAAGTAACTTTGAATAACCAATCTTTCTGTGAATACTTATTTTTAAAAATAAGAGTTTCTGTAATAGTTATTTCTAAACAGAAGTGCATGATGCCCATAAAAATCAAGGTAATGTATACATTAAATCTTGACAGGGAGTTTTGACAAAAGATAAATAATATGAGCTATCATGTCTGGATCAAAAGCTAACTGTACTGCTTAGTAGGTGACTTTCCTAAGTCTGCTCTGGGTAAGTAGTGTCATCTTTAATTCTTAAATTGTTTTCTTTAACATCTGTCTAGCTTCTGTTGCAGGTGATGGACACGGACCTATCTTCTAGTGATGTCACCATCCATTAGTGCATATATCCTGCTAAAAATAAATTTAAGAATCAAAATCTTGTATTGTCTGTTGTTTTTGAAACTGAAGAGGAGGAATTCTGTAGCTACTCGTATACCAAACCTCTGCTATTTTCATCTATATTCTCACAAAAGTTACTGAGTTTATGCCTGAGGTGGATAAGTATTTATCCATGTCATTCCTTTTTCTTGAAGATTAAAACTTTCACATGGTTGTTCCTAAAACTCACAAGTCCTTTCAGTTAAATCATTAGAAATTACGAATGCAGACGTTTGGGTGTCACTTGCATTGAAGCTGCCATTACCAAAAGGAAAGAGCTGTGAAAACAAGACTTTTTCAGACTTAACACTTTTCAACTCACACTCTAGTTCTTGGGTTTACATGAACATCAGAAATGAGAAGTGATGGATGTAGAACTTTACTTTCACAAGCACAATAAACTTTCATTTTGTTAGGTACATCTATCTTACATTTTATGTAGGTAACAGATGTGTTTTATAACTGCTCTTATGCCCCTTTGGAGCCCCTGACAAATTTAGGGTTGTCCCAAAGAGCATTTTCCCTTCACTTTTGCAAGTTTTAAAGTAGTATAAATATTTAAGCTTCAGTGTACTGGAGCTGTACATGGAAACTTGTATCGAATTTATACATAGATGTGATTATTTGTTAGAGAAAATGGAACTTTTTGCAGAAGATTTTTGTAGGAACCCTTTTTTTTCCTCAGAACTAATAATTTCCTGTTTTCTACTGCTTTGTATGACTCTTCCCTCTCTGCTTCCTCATTGTGTCCCCCCTCCTACCTCCCTGCCCATTCCCTAGTTTTTGAACAGAAAGGTTGGTTGATCTGTTGATCTCACTGAAGGCTGATAAAAAGAGCTTTTTATGTTATGCAGGAACAGAGAATATGGTATACATAATATCCAGGTGTGCTCATCTCGTTGTGATAAAGACTGTCCTGTAGACCTTCTAGAATTAACATGGCCTTGAACATACAGGGATGACATGAACAAGAGAAGTACTTGATTTACTATATATTGCTTTGCTTTTGTCTCTTCCACAATCTCATTGATTACAGAGTAAATACTTTTTCTGAATTTCAAATAAGGGCTTTGATAGTTCAGAATCATACAGGAGTTATTAACGAGTGTGGGCAGGGGATCATGAACTTTTTGTAGAAAAACAATACAGCTTCTTTTCACCTTAATTTTGATGTTAGGGAAAAACATGACATCACTCTACTTAGTGTATTCTGGATGACTCAATTTCTTACATAGTGTTTCTATTGGGGAGCATTCTTGTCACTAAATCAAAGTTTTATGAAGGAAATGCTACTCTGGGAGGCCTGCTGTGTTTTAGCAGCTTGCATTTAATTAAGATGTTTGTATTAATGATGTTGCCATCTTGCCTTCCTTATTTTTTGCAGCTGTATAAACAATATTCATATCTTTACACACACATCTGGTTATAATTGTGTTTTCTTATCATGTTGAGAGAATATAATATGTTCAGCACACTGTAATTTCATGATTCAGCTTTATAGCTCAATATAGCTTGACTTGTCTTCCTAAATGGTTTAATTCTGTCATGGGATTTAACAGGTAAACAGCAAGTAGTTAGTCATGCTAATCTGTAGCTCTGGAGTCGAAGGCTTTTT